ACGGGTTTATCTGCTGTGCAATTTTGGTAGTTTTGATCTTGACATTTTAGGTCAATTTTGGAACTACGTTCATGTACGAAATAACTCAATTTCCCCAATAATTGGTATTCGAGCTTCGGTTGAGGTTATTTTGGTGGTCCCATTGCTAAAAAAATACATTTCGTGCTATTGAATATTGTTCGTTAGAATTAAAATGCCAAAATATGGATTAGTTGAGACATCAAGCTCTTCATCTGGACCAGTGAGGAGGGTTATGTCAAATGCAAACTTGTCGGTGGAGTTGTTCGATTGATCCGATCATTTTGGCATGTGGCAAAGCGAGGTGTTAGACGTTTTATTCTAATAAGGTCTAGACATCGCCATTGAGGAATAAAAACTCGTAGATATAAAGGAGAAAGAATGGGGAATAATCAATCGTTTGGTGTGCAACATAATTCGATCTTGTCTTTCCAGGGAGCAGAAGTATGGCTACAAGAACGAGACTTCTGCAAGTAACCTGTGAAAAGCATTGGAGGAAAAATTCCTAAAGAAAAGCTCTCAGAATCGTTTCCACATGAAGAAAAAATTGGTTAGATTTGATTATCAACCAGACACCAGTATGAATGAACACATCACTGCATTCAATGAGTCAGTGACAAACTTATTGGGCATGGATGAAACCTTCAAAGATGAAGATTTGACTTTGATGTTGTTGTCATATCTTCTAGATGAATTTGAGCACCTTGAGACAACGCTACTTCATGGTAAGGATAAAGTTACCCTTAAAGATGTAATTAATTCTTTGTATAGTTATGAACTCATGAAAAAAACCAAAAAGGAGAGAAAGTACGGAGCAACAGAGACCATGGTGGCAAGAGGTCGCTCGAAAAGTCAAAAGCCAAAGAGGAGAGGGAGATCAAAGTCGAAGTCCAGAATGGGAAAAGATGAATGTGCCTTTTGTCATGAAAAATGCCATTGGAAGAAAGATTGTCCGAAACTGAAGAAGAAAGGAAAAACTGCTGTAGATGCATGTGTTGCAAAGCATAGTCCTAATGAATCTTACATATCATTGGTTGCTTCATTAACAACATTTTATTCAGATGAGTGGATATTAGATTCGAGTTGCACTTATCATATGTCCCCTAATCGGGAGTGATTCACCGATTTAGTAGAACTAAATGCAGGAGTTGTTTATATGGGCAATGAAAATGCCTGTAAAACTGTTGGGATATGTTCAATTCAATTGAAGAATCAAGATAGATCAACCAGAGTTCTGACTGATGTCCGGTACATGCCCAATTTGAAGAAAAATCTCATCTCTTTGGGAGCCATGGAATTCAAAGGCTCATTAGTCACTATGAGAGATAAAGTTTTAAAAGACACATCTGTCACACTTATGATGATGAAGGGCATTAGGAAAAATAATTTGTATTACTACCAATGTAGTACAATTATTGGAGTAGTTGCAACAGCTTCTGGGGGCAATGATTTGGACACAACCCAGTTGTGACATATGCGGTTGGGACATGCTGGAGAGAAATACTTGTAAATTTTGGCAAAAAAATTATTGTTGAAAGGTGCAAAGGCTTGCAAATTTAACTTTTGCGAGCATTGTGTTCTGGGAAAGCAGAAGAGAGTGAAGTTTGACACCACTATACATAATACAAAATATATTGTGAATTATATTCACTCAGATGTGTGGGGTCCTTTCAAGACACAATCTTTGGGAGGAAAATATTATTTTGTAACTTTTGTAGATGACTTTTCCAGAATAGTTTGGGTGTATCCGATGAAGTCTAAAGATGAAATGCTCCGAATTTTCCTTAAACGGAAAAATATGATCGATAACCAGACTGGTAGAAAGATCAAATGTCTTAGGATGGACAATGGAGGGGAATATAAAAGTGAATCATTCACCGACGTTTGTCATGAGTATGGTATTGTTCGACACTTCACTATTAGAGATACACCACAATAGAATGAGGTGACAGAGCGTATGAATCGAACACTATTGGAGAAAGTTCGATGCATGTTGTCTAATGTTGGATTAGGTAAGACATTTTGGGCTGATGCTGTGACATATGCTTGCCATCTCATCAATCATCTGTTATCATCAGCGATAGGAGGAAAAACACCATTGGAGGTATGGTATGGAAAACCTGCTACTGATTATGATTCCTTAAATGTATTTGGATCTACTAATTTTTATCATGTGAAGGAATCGAAGCTTGATCCGAGAGCAAAGAATGCCCTCTTTATGGGAATCACCCATGAAGTGAAGAGATTTCGTCTTTGGTGTTTGGACACTAAGAAAATAATTTGTAGCAGAGATGTTACCTTTGATGAATCTGCCCTAGTAAAGAAGGTAACAAATGAAGCTCTGCAGCAGATGGAGCATACTCCAAAACAGGTGGAGTTTCAACAGAAGATGATACAATTGATTCTTCAACTCCAATAGAAGAATCAGAAGATGAAGATGATCAAACCCAAGAAGCATTGGAGACACCAGAACCACTTGCAGTTACAAGGCCAAGGAGAGAAATTCGTAAACCTGCTCGTTTTGCTGATATGGTGGTCTATGCTCTTCCAGTTGTTGTTGATGACACCCCTATCACTTACCAAGAAGCAATACAAATCTTGGAAAGTGATAAGTGGAAAAGTATCATGAATGAAGAAATGCAATTTCTCCGAAAGAACAACACTTGGAAACTGGCAAAATTACAGAAAGTAAAAAAGTAATTGGATGCAAGTGGGTATTTACAAAGAAATATGGACCTCATAACAAGAAAGATGGACCTCATAACAAGAATGATGATCGCTACAAGGCAGAGTTAGTAGCTAAAGGATACGCTCAAAAGGAGGAAATCAACTACAATGAAGTATTTTCCCCTATTGTGAAGCATTCATTCATTAGAATATTATTGACCTTTGTAGCACAGTTGAATTTTGGAACTAGCTCAACTTGATGTAAAGATGACTTTCTTGCACGGTGATTTAAAAGAAGAGATCTATATGACTCAGCCAGAAGGATACAAAGATGGTGGTTGTGAGAAATAGGTTTGTAAGCTGAACAAATCGCTATATGGATTGAAGCAATCTTCGAGGCAATGGTACAAGCGATTTGATAGCTTTATGAGGAGGCAGAGTACACTATAAGCAAATATGATCATTGTGTGTATTTACAAAAGTTTAAAGATGAATCTTTCATTTATCTTCTCTTGTACGTTGACGATATGTTGATCGCTTCAAAGAGTCAAAAGGATATAGACAAATTAAAGGCTCAGTTGAATCAAGAGTTTGAGATGAAAGATTTAGGTGAGGCAAAGAAGATTCTTCGTTTGGAGATAAGCAGAGATAGACAGAGAGAAAAGCTTTGTTTAACACAAAAACAATATCTGAGAAATGTATTACAATCTTTTGGCATAAATGAAAATACCAAACATGTAAGTATCTCACTTGCCTCTCATTTTAAACTTAGTTCTCAATTATCTCCTAAAACTAATGGAGAACGAGAGTATATGGAAAAAGTTCCATATGCTAATGCAGTTGGGAGCTTGATGTATGCAATGGTGTGTACGCGTCCTGACATTTCACAAGCAGTTAGAGTTGTGAGCAGGTACATGCATGATCCTGGAAAAGGACATTGACAAGTTGTGAAATGGATTCTACGGTATCTCTAACAAACTGTGAATGTTGGTTTAGTTTTTGAACATGATGAAGCACTTGGTCAGTTTGTGGTTGAATATGTTGATTCTGACTATACTGGTGATTTGGATAAGCGTCGATCAACTACTGGGTATTTTTTTACTCTTGCTAAAGCCCCTATAAGTTGGAAGTCTACTTTGCAATCTACGGTGGCTTTGTCTACTCAGAGGTAGAATACATGGCAGTTTCAGAGGCTGTAAAGAAGCAATTTGGGTTAACGTGTTGATGGAAGACTTGAGAGTTGTTCAAAGACACATTAATCTCTATTGTGACAGTCAGAGCGCTATTCACTTAGCAAAAAATCAAGTCTATCATTCAAGGACTAAGTATATCGACGTGAGGTATCACTTTGTGCGTGAGATCTTTGAAGAATAAAATATTCTATTTCAAAAAATTGCGACAATAGAAAATCCTGCAGATATGATGTCCAAGTTGGTAACAGTAATCAAGTTCAATCATTGTTTGAACTTGATTAACACCCTTAAAGTTTGAGCACTTTGGGGTATATGACGCTTGTGAGCGCAATTAGAGGCACTACATAACAATAGTTTCATCAAATTTGGGGAGTTGAAGAAGTTGACTAGGCTTGGTAATTTTCAAGTCAAGGTGGAGATTTGTTATGTATGGCTTGTAAAATTACAAGCCTACAAGTTGTAAAGTCAACAAATGTTGGTCAAACTTGGTAGCCATTGAAGAATTCAAGTTCAAATTTGTTACCACAACATTAAATTCAAGTTGAGAAGTGGCTATGATGGACACCAAAGGCTGGCAAGTTGGCAAGTGGCTAACTTGTGTACATGGAAAAATTCATTTTTGGTTTCTAAACTATCAGGTTATTTATAAGTTTAGTCCTTAAAACTCAAATATAAATATGCCTAAACAATTCCATTTGAAATTATCCCAAAAAGTTCTTCCCCATTTGTTTTCTTCGTTCTCCCTCTCCCATTTGTTTTCTTCTTTAGGAATTCCATTTATTGTAATATTTTGTTCGATAGTGAAATTATCATCCGTTGGTGGTGCCCCGAAGAGTAGATGATATTTTCGTTGAACCTCGTAAATTTTATATGTTGTCTTCATTATTGTTCTTTATTTGGTTTTTTTATTGTTTTTCAATATTCAATAGTTCGACGAATTTGTCTACTGTGCAAATTTGATAGTTTTGATCTTGATATTTTAGGTTAATTTTAAAACTATGCAAGTTTGGGAAATACAAGCAGATAGTTGATTGTGTGCCATATTGAGAACCGTAATGTCACTCAGGCAAGAGATTGTCTGGTAAATGACCCATGAGTTGTGGCTCACATCTAAAACCTGCATCTCTGAGAACATCCAACGCCTTGTGGAATGCAGCCTGATAACTGGTTATTGAGAAGCAAAATCTCCTTCAATTTTGAACTCGTGAAGCCAAAACTAGCTGGGATGTTCCCACTGAATTTGTTGTTCGCCAAGTTTATCACCGAAGCAGGAGAATTCCCCATATTTTAAGGGATTTCACCCTCGAACTGGCTGTTGTCGAGGAAGATTGCATCTAGCCCCTTGTTGAATAGATCTTGAGGGACGGGTCCCGAGAAGCTGTTGAACCTAAGGTCCAAATAAACAAGATTTGGAATTTATAGAGTGACTGTAGGGAAAGGACCCGAGAGGTGATTGTTACCGAGATCCAACTCTTGAAGCGATGAAAGGCCTCTGAAAGTGTCGTGAACGGTGCCTGAGAACCTGTTGCTGTTAAGATGAATGATCGAAACATCTGTAAGAACAGAGAATTCACTAACAAGAATGCCTTGGAGATTTGCATGGTTGAGAGCTATGGCAGCAACAAATGTTTCAGAATCAGAATCCATAGCACAAAACACCCCTTTATAAGCACGCACATCTGAGCCAACCCAAGTCTTCAAAATCCCCAATGGGTCGTCAGTGATTGCAGATTTCCATGCTTGGAGAGCAGTGTAAGCACCGCTCAGCTTTGACACCGAAGGACCTGAAGGAGGAGTTTGGGTATTGCCGATTCCTCCACCAATCCAAACACCACCAACAACAACGTCGCCGCTATTGCCGATACTAATGCCAACACCACCACCCGCAGTGATGGCCGCTTCATTTGGAACAATCTATCGAAGGACTAAAAAAGCCAGTAGCGGGTGCCAGCTCTTCCTCGTTCTTCAATGTTGAAGACACCTAGCAGATGGTTTATTGTGATGCGGTTAGTTTTGCTTGTAGGGTTGTCAAATGGAGGCTTTCTGCAATCACCATTGATGAGAGAGGACATTTTAGGTATATTTCACAGTTTTATGCTTTTATTATTGTACCTCCATCTTTTCTGTACGCAAATATTGACTCGAGGCTATGGGTGTGCTCTTGGATGAAAAATAATTGCATATTAGTATTATGTAATCTAATTGCTAAATTTGAAAAAAAAAATACCTATACAATGATTGGGTTGCAAATGCACGAGAATAATGGGGTTCCAATTCCAGTACATAGGATGTTGATTTTTCATACTTGGGGCCAGAAATAGGCAATTATAACTGATTAAGTCAAGTTCACGAAGCAGGTAAAAAAGAAATTGGTAGAAATAATTGGCCGATCAAGAACGGACAACGGCTTAAATTTGTATTTTTCATACAAGTGTTCATTGCGCAATACTGGTGCACATGATTCCTATTCTTAGCTTTACAGGTAAACCTCTCGAGTAAAGGACAACTTTGATGGCATAATTTGGGATTTTCATGTTCACTTACATACTTTATCAGTAATTGTACAGGCGTGACAAATACAATTCAAGGGCTATTCCTTGTCGCGCGTTGCAATCAAAATGTTGGAAACATCCATGTCATGGGTTATGTAAAAGACGATGCATCCTTTACATTTGCGTTTATGACAACCTATCTATAATGTTGTTTTTCTTCTTACCTATATATTTTCATAATGTGATGGCCAAGACGAATATAGGAGACGACGACAACACTGTAACTGCATGTATTTTTTCGCACGGAACTTTGGGCCAAGACTGGGCAGAGGTCTGAATTCGTCTAATGGCCCACTTCCTATAATAAACTGAACTTGTAGGATTTTTATATTTATCATTTTAATCGGTCATGATTCTCATGAAGCACCAACCCAATGGCTAAATCCATTGTGGACCGTTGCCCGTCATCAATTCACCACCTACGCTCATAAATTTATGGCCTTCTCTAGTGTGAAATGTTAAAAGTAGATGGAAACTACCCATCACCCAGTAAAAAATATTTTTGTTACTTTCTAATTATATTATCTTTTAAGATTTATATTTATAAAAAAAATCTAACTAAACCTAATATTTGATTCATTACACAAAGATCTATATGCGAGTCCAAGAGTACATTATGTGACACATAATATATAAAAAAAAAATCATATGTCAATCTTGTTTATTTCTTGGTTGTGAATGGATATGAGCATGCAGATTTGGAGTATAGTAAGCAGCAACAGCCAGCGGCAGCTACACAAATTCTCCATAGCAGATGTAGTTATGATTGATTACAAAAGGAGATATTGAAGGCTATCATTGCACTTTTGATAGTATTAGTGGCAAGGAGCTTGTGGTCCTGGGTAGAATGGTGAGAGCCAGGCCCTCGATAGTTAGACTATCGTGCCTTTTCTCATCACCGAAAGTTTCCGGTGTTTCTGGACCTGTGTACCTCAAGCTGATTCCGGTGCTAATGGTCATGACATAGCTTGTACAGAAAATGCAAATAAAATAAAACTATAAAACAAAGAAAGCTAGAAGGTCTCTTCAATGACAATTAATGTGTATAAGATGAGTATCAATTATACACTCACTGTACTACTTTATATATCCATCTATAGATCATGTATTGATGGTAAGAAATAGCCTAATCCCCTGTTTATTTAACAATGTTCGGTGTAACAAACTAGACAATTAGCCTGTATTGTCGCCCAAAGGGAGAGGAATGTTGAATACCTTGCAAGTAGCAAAACCTTGTCTCATTTTGATTTGATGCCCGTTGTTTTTGTCAAAGAAATGAAATTTCCAGGCTCAAGTCTTGGAAACTTTCACCAATCGGACCAACCAGGAACAATGGTTTGAAAAGGATTTCAAAAGAGACTAACAAGCCCTCCTTGTTTAGCTACAATAGATAGAAGATCAACTTGTAATTAGATCGACCTTCGGAGTATCTAACCTTATTTCCTTGTCTTATACCATCAGGAACCTGTTCAAAGTAGCTTGGACATTGAAAAAGTAAAAATAGAGACAGAGAGAAGGAAACTTCATCACGGTCAGATTCTGGTTAAGAAACTACTCAAAGGGTACATTACACTTAATTAGTTTATTAAAGATTGACGAGCATCATTTTACTGTCAAATAAATTAATTCTTCTAAAAAATAAATAAAGAAAGAGAGTAGTAAAGAGAAGTAAGAGTCGGTCCACAGAGACTTTAGAGTTTCTGATGTAGTATGCTTTTTGATTCTGGATTTGGATAAAAGATAAGATAAGATGGGGATTTTATTTTGAAAAATTATAAAATAAATAAATAAATAAAGATAAAAATTCACTTATGATAAAAACAACATCAGACTTTAGCTTTGACTCAATTCCAACCGATCATCAAAATAGATTTTCACTTTGGATTACTGTCAGTTATAGTCTACAGGGCTCTACCACTAACTTGTTTCTCTCTCTTGTAAACCTACAATCCAAAAGCTATCTTTGAATTTCAGCCATTATGTGGACTAACAACGACTATCATTGTCAGTGCCAACTCAGTTTTAAAGTTTTGGAAAAACTCGACTGGGACTATGTTATCTCAATGAGAATTGAGCCCGATCTCAATTTTCCTTAGCGGACTGCCGCTAAGTGTTTTAATAGGAAGTCAAACTTGCTATCAATCGATTCTTTCTCCCAAAACTTTAAACAAAACAACATCCAAACCAACGAGTTCTTTTTGATTTAAAAGCGTTTTGATTTTTAAAGGAAAGGCCGATTGCCAATCCTAGTTTCCAGAAAATTTAGAATATAACTCGAAGGTATTAAGTGCTTTTCAATTCTCACAATCGGAATTGAGTCATTGCTTTAGCCCTTGGGTTATTGAAAAATTAGATAAGTGTGACAATCATACATAGCATTTTAAAAATAAAAATAAAAGAAAGCTTGGAAAATAAAGAAAGAAAGAACTTTTATAAAACTCCAAAGCAAAGAACAAAAGCAAATTTGAATGTGTTTTCAAGCTTACCCTGAGGAGTATTTATAACTTTCTAAATCCCTAAAAATAATGAAAAGATAATTCCTAAAGATAATTCTTGGAAATATTCAAATTAAAATCCTAAAAACAAGAGATAATTTCGAATTTGAATTTAAAAAATGTGGCTGATCCGTTCGTCCTTCTAGAAGCATTGACTAGACCTTTTGGAAGCTACTGACTTAACGCCATGTCAGATGCCCACTAATTCATCCTTGACTCTAAAATAAAAATAAAAACTGCAGAATTTTGTCCTTTCAGTGCAATTTCCATAATCTAATGCCCTACACAGAAAATGAATTAAAACGAACAAATCAACCACAAAAACAACACCCAATGAGCAAATTAAAGACAAAATAATAACTAAATAAACCATCTATCAAATTTCCCCTCACTTATTCAATGCTTGTCCTCAAGCATTCCTCAATTAACACATCAAAATCATAAGTTGCCATCTTTAATTTCACTTTATTCCTCAAATTTCCAAACAAATTAAGTTCATGACAATTGCCGAACTCAAGGTACAATCAACCAAAGACACAACTAAGAAGAATTTTAAGCAAAGCAATATATCTCAATTATTTGCCAACATCAATTAAACATGACTCAATACCTCACAAAGATTCACTCATTTTCACTCAAAGTGTTTATGGTAAAAGTAAATCGCTCAAACCAGAACTAACCAAAATATTACCATAGGCTTGGAATCCAATCAAGTCTCCACTACTAAAAGTGAGCATAATGAAATAATCAAGGGGTCTTTAAAATAAGGTGTAATAGGGCTTAGGTTAGGGTAGAGAAAATGCCATAATTATCGGTTTAAGTACCAAGACAAGAGATTTACAAATTATTCCTAACTTTATAAAATAAATAAAAGAAAATGTATAAACATATAAACATAAAGCAATTTTTTGAATATTTTCTATTTTTTATGTTGTTTTGTGCACTGCACTGCTTTAACTTCTGCACTGTTCGAACCAAATTTTTTCTTTTTTAAAAGGTAAATATAACAAAATAAAAACATACATCAAATTAAACAACTAATCTACTTGTCTTGATAAGGGTAGAAAAAGAGGGATAAAAATAAAGGCTTGAGTTTAATCATGTTGTAAAAATGAAGAAAAATGATAAAGGCTCAAAAAATGGTTCACTATTGGATATATATATGATTGTGTAGGCTATTTGGGAAAGAGTGAATTTAATCCTAAGTGTTTCTATCACATTAAAACATTAAGGTGGTGTTTGTTTTTACTGTGTAAGGTCTGTAAAGCTCTTATGTCTGCGCCGCGCAGATCACGCGCAGACATTGGGCTTCGCCGACCGTTTGTTTTTTATAAGACAGAAGCTCTTCTAACGTCTGCGCGAGGTCTTCTTGGTGCAGACATGGTTTTATGTCTTCAAAGGTCTTCAAACCTCTTCAAATAAATTAAAATTACTTAAATCTATTTTAAAATTTATTTTAAAATATTGATTGATTTATTTTAAAATATGGATTGATTTATTTTAAAATATGGAAAATTTTATTTTAAAATATGGATTGAATTATTTTAAAATATGGATTGATTTATTTTAAAATATGGTGTTAAAAGTATGGATTTTATTTAAAATATGGATTTTATTTTAAAATATGAAAAATTTTATTTTAAAATATGGATATTTATTTTAAAATTTATTTATTTTAAATATGGATGATTTATTTTAAAATATATTTATTTTTAAATTGTATTTTTAAAATATGGAAAATTTCATTTTAAAATATCGATTGATTTATTTTAAAATATGAATTGATTTATTTTAAAATATGGATTGATTTATTTAAAAAAAATTATTATTGTAGTTGTATGGATTATTTAAATTTCATTATTATAAAACTAAAATTATTTAAATTTCAGTATTGCAAAACTCTTTTAAGTTTAAAAAATCAGTTTATTTATATTTCAGTTTATTTAGCCTACTGCAGATGCTTGCAGATGTGGTCCGTAGACTAAAGACCTTTTACCTCTGCAAAAACAAACACCACTTAAGTCCAGCATGTAGTCTCGATATGCATTAAGATTACGAATTCTAGAATATC